CGGACATTCAAAATACATCCTATAGGCTACTGTCTTGTCCTTCAAAATGTGCTTCCCTGTAATTGGATTGCAATCGGATAAGTGGAGTTCGCATATCTAGTCTCAGTATGGCAGCCGCAGTGGATGGATAGACTACCAAAATGCAAACTAGCGATCTGAAACAATGGCTTCAGCACCCGAAGCGGTAGGGATAAGATGACCAGATGTCCCGTATTTCCCGGGAGTCACAATTCGTTGTCGATTATCTTAAAAGTTAGTGAAGGCGGGATAGGCGGAATCGCGCTGATAGAAGTGCTTTCTCTCACGCACGCTCCACTTCTTCAGTTCTCATATAGTGTCATTAATGTTAACCAACAAAATGTGTTAAATAATTATGTTAAGTAAACCTACTGTATCTGAAAAATTAGTTTAATTTGTATCTCTTTCGTATTTGTCTTATTGTCTTATTCTGCTTCTCTTTCAAAAATTATAAATTATATATATATATGAACAACTATAATATTTTTATAAGTTGCTCCCTTTTCACTACTGTCTTTTCCATGACATTCTAATTTATTGAGATGCACCTGTATAGTTGGGAAGCGGTCCTGACACGATGATTGTCGTCGGAGGGCGATATGCTGCGCACCGTCTCGATCAGGCTCCTGAAGTCCCTCTTCAGTGTCTCCTCGAGCTCAGCAGCAGTTTTAACATTAAGTGACATGACATCTGATGCACAGATGCCATTGGCACATGCCTCTATGCTCAGCGACACTTCCGGTGGCACTTTCGGTTTTCAGTGGCATGTGTCACTAAAACGTCTTGTGTCAGTTGCCTCGGTGCATGTCGCACCTTCGGTAGTGACTGACACCTGCCGCTGGGTGTCACTGCATAATGTAGATTGCGTGACACACGCACTTAACGGCAGACCGATATTGAATGAATTAACAGTATGTTGCTGTCAAACATACGATTTATTACATCGCAGAGTTCATTTGTACTTACTGCAAAACTCTACACACAAATTCCTACATTTCTCAGTGTTTACACCATGTGGTCATTTAGAAAGCACTCACAGGAGGAGGAGGAGGAAGAGGACGTGGTGAAGGAGGAGGGAGAGGAAGAGGACATGGTGAAGGAGGAAGAGGAGGGAGAAGAAGGGCAAGGAGACAAGCAGTCTCAGATGAAATTCGAGCCACTTTAGTTGACCTTGTCCATGGTTTGACTATGAGGGAGGCTGGGAAACGAGTACAGCCAAATTTGAGTCGCTTCACCATCGCCTCCATCATCAGAACCTTCAGGGAGGAAAACAGGTAGGTGTACTTACAGTAAGACTGCTCTGTACAGTAACTTTAGAGTGCATACACTGTTGCACTATGCTACTGTAA